ACACTCCGAGAAAAACCCAAGATGATTCTAAACCAATTAGTACCTAAGACTAGTTCATAGTGACCTACTAAGAGGAGGTCATGATGACCTACTTATCTACCTTTCAGTTCACATACTACGAGGACCCAAAATGCAACTGACAGAGTTTGACGATTCTATGCCAATTAATACCTAAAATGTTTAATCATAACCAAATAATTACCAAAGTAGGTCACAATGACCTACTTTTCAGTTGACATACTTGTGGACCCAAGATGCATCAAGAGACAAAGTTTAATGATTCTACGCCAATAAGTATAAAGAATTTAAATAAAGAAAAAAAATATCTAACCAGATCACAGAGACCTACTTTTCAATTGACATACTACATGCATCCAAGATACATCAACCAACAAAGTTTGATGACTCTAAACAGATAAGTACCCGAAAATATCTTAATATAGCCATAAAATCCCAGAAGTAGGTCAGAATTAGCTACATTTAAGTTGACATACACCGAGGACATAAGCTGTATCAACTGACAAAGTTTGATAATTCTTAACCAGATTAGTATTGTTATATTTAAATAAGGTAATAAAATATTTAAAGGTACTTGGACACAGATTTGAAGTTAATTTTTTCTCTATAATATTACTACTTATATATTTTAATAGCATTTCACACAAAAAATAAATTAAGAATCTTATTTCATTTAAAAGTTATTAAAATTTTTAATTTTTTGGCGGGTTTGATTGACACATCCTTGCACTTTCACAAATTTTAACTTTATTCTTAATCCTTAGGAAAAGTGGCAATCTTGTTGTGTATTAATGAAAAATATTAATACTATAGTCCAGAAAATTCAGAGTAGACATGTTAGAAAGCAAAACAAACACACAATAAATTGACAGTCCGTGCAGTTGAGGTGAGCAGACTTTGGCATTTGAACGTACCCAGTGAATCGTAAACATTAAACAATAACAGAGCTGTGTCCTGTTTACAAAAACTGTGTACATAACACGAGTGTGCTCGATTTGCTAAACTCTGTACACAACGGAATGACGATACTCGTGAAGGAGTTTTGCTTTCTAACATTTCTACTCTGAAGAAAATAATTTTTCTGCATTGAAGTTTTAATATTTCTCATTAATACACAACAAGTTTGCCACTTTTCCTAAGGATTAAGAATAAAGTAAAAATTTGCGAAAGTGCAAGGATGTGTCAATCCATCGTCGCAAACCACGGCCAAAATGTACGATCCTCTCCCATTCTGGCCGTCGTTGAACGAGGAGAGAATTCTTCGTAGCTCATTAAAATATTGACCAACGCGAGTAAAGCATAGTCGGTAGATGAACTTTATCGCGACCTTTCAATATCCAATCGCAGTAAAGGAAATATTTCTTGTATACTGTTGACGTCAGTTGTGATTTCAATTACGATGGAAACAAAACTTGCCACTGACTGAATATGACGTCATAATAGAGAGGCGTAAATATTCAAGATTACGACACTTTTTGTGATCAAGCAGCCACGGGTAGGAGAGAGCTATATGCGGACTCCGGACCGTGGCTTGAGAAGATGGTGTCAATCAAACCCGCCAAAAAAATTAAAGTTTTAATAACTTTTAAATGAAATAAGATTTTTAAAGTACCTTTAAAAACCTACTTTTCAGTCAACAAACTCTGATGTCTGGTGTTTAGTACCTAAAGTCAAAATGGCAATTCAAAACGGCAGACATCTAATTTTCTAATTATACCTTATTAATGTTGTTCAGATATAAGAAATAATGTGTGAATAGGTTACGGAACATATTGCATCTAAAAAAATGATACAAGAACACTAATTCAGTTGTTTAAATTTGAAAGCTGTATTAATTAGCTCAAGGTGGCAATTCAAAATGTCAAACACTCGAATTTCACAAAATACTCAAACTGCTTATAATTCTGACCCGTTTTGCAGAAAATAAAATAAAACAAACTACAGTTTACTTATCTAAATTAATAGAATAATGTTTAAAAAAAATATTGAATAAAACTTTGAAGACACTGTTGTTAATTATAACTTATGATTTTTATGACATGGATCTTTGTTTTATGACTTCTTTTATTAAGGCAAACTTTTGACGACATCCACCAAGAACTTTTACTTATTTATATTCAAGTCTTTTATTAATGTTGATTTCAAAAGACTCAAATATAAATCAATTTGTCTTTCTTAACAATATACATGCAATAAATCTAGAAAATGAATTATTTTTTTATCACTAGTCTAAGTTCACTTCAGTTTGTCATAACACGTGAATCAAGATACTGATGCCAAAGTGAGGATGAACATGTATGATACAAGCTTACATTTTCAAAACTTCATGGACTAGCTGACCCAAAGAAGGAGATGTACCAGTTTATTTTGACTATTGACTGGCTTCAACAACCCCTTGCTTTTGAGTTTTGACTATTTTTTCTACTTTGTACACATAAACAATACACATTTTGAATAATTGATAGAGTATCAAACCCCATCGAGCTTTACAACAAAACAAGTGGCATATTATCTAAATATTTTAATTTTAATAACACTAAAAACATGTTTCTATAACAACAAAAATAACACTATGGTGTCCAAAGTGTAAAAAAAAAATACATGTATGACTCGTCAATGAATTTAACATTCATAAATTCAGATACAAACAAATCTTTTTAATCACTGCAAGAACCTCGTAATATTTATATACTAAGTAAGTTTTTGTGTCAGTATAAATTGCAGGAATTTTTTTATGTGCAAGAAAATGAAAAAAAAACCAAACCAATCATCAAAAGAAAATTATTTTCTTTTAAAGCTTATACAAACTCTATCAAAAAAAAAAGAAAAAGAAAAAACAGTTGAGCAACTAAATGGAAGTAGGATGCAATATAACAGAAAAAATTCCATTTTTGTATTGGGGAATTAATGTTCATACACTTGCGAAATCACAATTTCAGGCAAAGGTAAGTAACTCAAATCACATCACTTTCACTATTCAATAGTGAACTCATTTCCAATGTCATGTTTAGTTTTAATCGTGAAGCCTTGACATTGTGAAGATTATACCAATAAAGTATTCATAAAATCATATCGGTAATTTACCCAGCATTATATTCATAAAATATTATAATATTAAATACAGCCAAACCACGTAATCTAATTACTCAATGGATAAAATATTTATCAGATATCATAGGATTCCAGATACTTCGAAAAAAATACAAAAAGAAGCAGTGGCGGAATCATCCAACTCACTTTAGACATATCCATGGTGTTTGAGGAAGATACCGAAGTTCAACTGTGTTAAGTAGGACTCCTCCAAATCGTGCTGTCCCCCCCCCCCCCTACAATGGCACGGTATATGACAGGTGTTTATAACAGCTGATGATGTCAATCAAAACTTGTAAACACAAGGTCCAGAGTATCAACATATATTTCTTTTTCTCTTTATAACATCTTTAAAATATGCCTGTAAACAAATACTAAATAATACATATATTACAGATATTGGAAACAAGGTAACCGCTCAGAGCGTGACCAGAATCAATGGTGCATTACATCAATTCCTTTACCACTTCGAAAAATATTTTGCCACGTTTCAAATTCGCCGTTACAATTCTTTTTCAGAAATCATACTGTTTTTTTTTAATTCCGCCCACCTGTGAGTAGGGCGAAAGGGGCGAAAATAAAACGGGGGCAAAAATTCCCCTAACTGTATACAGTACTTTATCTCATTCAAGTACTTGAAAGTAGACTAGCAATATGCTTTTACATCTGACTGTAGCAAAATACTGTAGGAGCACTTTTTCCGCGTGGTTTTAATTTACGCTATATACGCTGTGACAAATTTTCCGCGGAAATTTGTTCAAGCGTACTTAATGTAAATGTAAGGCATATAGTGACAGTCTAAGAAATCCGCGTAATTTTCTACGCGCGGATAAAACAGAAATTGAAATTCCGCGGAATTATGACCCCATCGAAAAAAAGTACGTCTACAGTAATCCAAACTCTTCTTAACTTACTAATTGAAAGTTCATAAAATATCAGGTGTCAGATAGAAAATCTATGTACGGATTTCTATGGAATATTACATTGTCAAGATTGGCACATTTTTTATAAGAGTTATGATATAGATTTTTTGCCGAAAATACAATTTTTTAAAATTTCTTAAAATATAACTTTTTTAATTATATATATACAGTATATACAACGTATGGGTAAATATATATCTTTAAAAGTCACTGTTCACATGGGCTATTTTCCAACTGGTGCAACTGATATCTTAACATAAATTCATAATATTGATTTTGATTTTTTTTTCATTTTATATATTCCATCATTTTTTATTAATTAAAACTGAATATTTTTCTGACACTTTTTCTGATATTTTTTTGAATTGCTTTTCAAATCACATGGTAAATAAAAAATGGTAATGAAAATGACATCATTCAAATAACACTTCTTTCATATTTTCTAAAAATACCCCGCGAAATACAAGAATTTCTTTAAAACAAGAGAAACATCACTCACCTGAGCCCTTTGCCCCCGGTTGATGCCTCGAAGCCCGTTATGCAAATTACCACGTTTCCCACTATCGTTGATGCCCAGGCATACTATACTCACTAGACAGTGATTTCTTAAATTTGGATAATTATGTAAAATAAATTCGTTTACTTTGTAACATTTTTATTTTTTCTTACAAGAGAACAGGCCTCTGTGTGATCGTGTAGCAGACATAGTACATCTACTAAGTTTTTTTTTAAAAAATAAATGATAGGCCTAAATAAATAAATAACCACTGCATTACTCAGTCAGACTGAAGTAATCAGTTTGGGTGGCCGACCATACATTGAGTATAAAATCAACATAATATATAGAGGAAATAAAAATGAGGGTGAAGAAAACTGCATATAGCAAATATTCGGTGCTAAAGTACAGTCGTACTTAGGAGATATCTTCTACAAGGAAGTAAATAACAAATCTCGTCTAAGTCTCGACTAAAATCTCTCTCCGACATTCTAAAGAAGATATACATTTAGAGGTCATTTGTTTCGAAAGTAAGTACCTGGGTGCCCGCAGACATGACGTTTATTTTTTTTCTGGAAAAGGGCATTTTGCTTACTGAAGTCCTATTTGTCTAAGATTTGTCTAAGATTTAATACAACAGAATAGTTTACAAATTAACTTCCTTATGGGGGCGTTCCCTTTCAGTTTAAGTAGTGTCAGACAAATAAAATACATGTATATATCGTTTTCTGAAGTTGATTTTATTTAAACTTAAACAATTTAATATGTAAAACTGTTACAATTTTGAGATCCATATGCATGTACAATGGAACAAACTTTTCAATGTTAATTTTAGATGGCACTTTCGAAACCGAAAATTCCAGGCACCGCCCAACACTTTCTAGAGTGTGGTGTTGAAGATTGTGAGAGAAATTGTGAATTCTACTGCAATTCCTGTCATCAACAGATGTGTAAACAATGCAGAGACAACCATCTGAAGATTTCAGAAAACATGAATCACGAGGTGGTCCTTTACCAACAACGTAAACGACAACTTCCTGTGGAGAAATGCAAGATCCACCCCACTAAAGATATTGATATTTTCTGTGAAGAATGCAATGTTCCTTTATGTTCAAAGTGTTCAACAATGCAAGATCATCGGGGGCATCAATTTATTGATTTAGAAATTATATACACAGAGAAATTTGAAATTTGCCAAAAGGAACTCTCTAAAATCCATAATTACTTTGTTCCAACATCACAGGATTTACAGAGAGAAGTTCAGAAAGATGCCAAAGAAGTTAAACAGATCATGGACAGCATACGGACATCCATGAAGGCTGAGGCCGAGTCTCTCAAAAACATGGTGGACACAGTGCTTTCAGAAAATATGGAAGAATTACACCGAATGGAACAGTCATTACTAGTGAAATTAAAGAGCCAAGAGAAGATATTCGATGATTATATTGCCTATCTCAGTGACCTTGTTAAAGAGTTTCAGAGTTACCTGTCCTCTACTACTCCTACTAAATTCACAGCTAAACTTCCGGAGAACTTACAAATAAAATCCATACCAGATACCACAAAACCTGACATACCAGAATTTTGGTCTGTTCTATACAGCAAAAATGATGTTGATAAATTACTTGGAAAGCTCACTGTAACAAAAAGAAAGGGAGAATTAAGAAGAGTAAAGCCAATGGAAATTGCTTCTTTTTCTAAATCAATGAAATCTGCAAGTGAACAGACAAAGCAGGATAAAGACGTGAAATCTAACAAGAAACAAACATTGTCTCTATCTGCCTCTGTCACCATGGTAAGGAAGTTCAATGTACCAGGTGTTGATGATGTATGTCATGTATCGCTAGATCAATCAGACAGACTCTGGATCAGTGACAGTGATGGTAATCTTGTCCAAACAGATCTACAGGGAAATGTGATACAGAAAATAAAAACCAGTGGAAGATCGCAAGGTTACCACACGGTCACACGGGACAGGGATCTGATCTTTACAGACAAAGTCAAGAAAGTCATCAATAGAATATCACAGAATAATGATATCACTGAATACATCAAAACTGGAGACTGGGAACCACTCAGCATACACTCATCCATCATTAACGGGGACTTTCTGGTGGGAATGAGGAAGGATGGAGAGGCTAAAGTCACCAGGTACAACAAGACAGGAAAAGAACTACAGAACATACAGAGGGATAACAAAGAACAGGGACTGTATAAATATCCACTCTACATCACAGAAAACTTCAATGGAGATATCTGTACATCAGACTTTGGTAAAGATGCAATAGTGGTGGTGAAAAAATCAGGTCAACACAGGTTCTCCTACACTGGTCAGGAGCCAGGATTCTATCCCTACGGAATCTGTACTGATGTCCTCGGTCACATCCTGGTGTGTGATAGTATCTATAACACTGTTCACCTCCTTGACCAGGACGGCCAGTTCTTGTCTCTATTACTCACACAACAACAACGGGTAGAGTGTCCCCGAAGTGTGTGTGTGGATGATGAAAACAATTTCTATGTGGGACAATATGACACCAACAAACTGATGGTGTACAAGTACCTAAAGTGATTATAATTCTGTCCACTGTACATAGTTATAAAACTTAAATTTGTGATTTCCAGCACAAAAATGCATATCCTGAATAGTGTTCCCTGTATTGAACATTATTTGAACAAATTGTACATACTGTAAATTGATTTCAATCAAATTATGACTCAAGTTTCAGTAAAAAAACAGTTTTAGTGAAATGCTTATGCTCAGTAATTAATTCATGCTTTACAACGAAGCGATTTAATTTTAATACTGATGCTTTTAAAACATATTGTTATCTTAAAAAATATAAAAGAATATAATGAATTAAAATAACACTATACATGTGATAATTTTTAGACCCAAATCCTGTACTGTACAGTAGTCTTTAATGAAATGCTGGACTTTGGATGAAAATACTGTACAAATGTACATTATTCATCCAAAAAGTGTACAAAGACTGTACAATATATCAAACAAAAATCATTTTCAGAGGGTATTTTTTATTTATCAATTTCAAGTCAATGAAAAATTGTTCCACTGCATGCAGTGTTAAATGTAATTACTCATTTCAAGAAACTCTTGCAGCTTTTAGAATTTCAGCAATCCCTATGGTCAATGCTGAACTTGGTGAAAAGACATCAATTGTTCAGTGTTTAATGCGAGTATCTGGTCGTCTCAATTCATTTGCATTCTTTAATAAATAAATTAATTCAAAAAAGCATTTTTCTTCCTCTGTATTAGAATTGGCAGTACTTATGCCTTAGCAGAACAGAAAAGTCGTACATTAAATTTCGTGTTGCTGTCATACAGTTACACTGTCAGACTATATTGTTTTCTCTTTGAAATGACTCTTTTTAATTTCTACTGACAACATTTTAACTATTTACATTAGAAAAAAACATTTGATAGGGATCTTATGAAAAATATTCTGCCTATACAAGAGGCACACAGGCCTTATAGATCACCTGAGTATGATGCAACAACTTTCCTACAATTGAATTTGGTTTTTGTTTTAATACACAGTTTGATCTTGATCTGAATGACTTGGACAGTGGAATCTAGATGCCTTATATACCTAAAAGGAAGAATAATTTGTAAACAGATATTGACCCCCTTAAACAAGCCATGACATTTACAATTTGAAAGAGGCACCATTGTTCAACATATCTATATACTTAGCCTGCTTTAATTAAAACAAAAAATAGGCACAGGGGCCTTGAATCACTCTTCTGATACATTGTACAACCTATCACTATTTGATGCCTCTAAGTATCCTGAGTGTATATTATGATAAAGCCTTGAAATTCAGAAGGCAGGTCATCATGATCTACATTTTATATAAAACATTCTGAAAACCCTAGATGATTATAAACCAATTAGAACCTAAGAATACATCATAGTGACCTACGAAGAGTAGGTCAAGGTGACCTACTTACCTACTTTTCAGTACACATACTAAGAGGACCTAAGATGCAACAACTGTCAAAGTTTAATGATTCTAAGCCAATAAATACCTATAGGTTTTAAATATCGCCATAACATTTCCAAAGTAGGTCACAGTGACCTTTTCAATTGACATACTTTGAGGACCCGAGATGCATCAACTGACACTGTGTAATGATTCTAAGTGGCATGTTATCCAAGTATTTTAATTTTAATAACACTAAAAACATGTTTCTATAACAACAAAAATAACACTATGGTGTACAAAGTGTAAAAATACATGTATGACTTGTCAATGAATTTAACATTCATAAATTCAGATACAAACAAATCTTTTTAATCACTGCAAGTACCTCGTAATATTTAAATAAAAAGTAAGTTTTTGTGTCAGTATACACTGTACGAATTTTTTTCTGTGCATAAAAATGAAAAAAAACAAACATACAAACAAACAAACTAATCATCAACTCAAACTTATTTTCTTTTAAAGATTACACAAACTCTATCAAAATTAACAGTTGAGCAACTAAATGGAAGTAGGATGCAACATAACAGAAAAAATGCCATTCTTGTATTGGGGAATTAATGTTCATACACTTGCAAAAAACACTATTTCAGGCAAAAAGGGAAGTATTAACTCATCACATCACAATTTAATAGTGAACTCACTTCCAATGTCATGTTTAGATTTAATTGTGAAGATTTGACATAGTGAAGACCATACCAATAAAGTATTCATAAAATCTTACCGGTAATTTAACCAGCATTATATTCATAAAGTTTGATAATATTAAATACAGTCAAACCTTTATCTAATGAATCAATGGGTAAAATACTTTTCAGATATCATAAGATTCCACATACTTAGAACAAAATACAAAAAGAAGCAGTGGCGGAAAGATCCAACTCACGTTATACATATCCATGGTGTTTGAGGAATTGGATGTTCAAGATACCAAAGTTCAATTGTGTTTAATTTTAACCATCTCCAAATCTTGCTGACCCTCATACAATGGCACGGTATATGACAGGTATTCATAATAGCTTATGATGTCAATCATAATTTGTACACAAAAGGTTTATGGTATCTACACGTAATTTTTTCTCTTTATATCTAAGCATCTTTAAAAAAGCTTGTAAACAAATAATAGATAATATATATCTCAGATATTGGAAACCAGAAACTGCTGAGAACTACAGTGCAATAAATCTACAAATACTTGTACATTGTATCACATTCAAGTACTTGGCAGAAAACTTAAAATATGCGTTTATGTCTGACTATATCAAAATAATTTCAATCTCTCCTTTAATTTGTAATTTAATTTCATAAAATTTCAGGTGATAGAAAATCTATGCATGATCAACAGAATTTCTGCAGTCTTAATTACATTGTCAAGATTGGTACACATATTACAGCTGTTAGTAAAAGTATAAATTTCTTGCAGGAAATATTTTTTTTCTTACATTTCTTAAAAATATAACTCTTTTAATAGATAGTGTATACCATGTAAGGATAAAAGTTTATTTGTAAAATATACACATAGCCTCTTTCAATTCGTGCAACTGAAAACATAACAATATTCAAAATGAATTCGATTTTTCATTTTAATATTTCCATCATTTTACTAAATCTGAATATTTTTCTTACTAATTAAAAACAAATTTAATTGCTTTTCAAATGACATGTAACAAAATGGTAAGGAAGATGACATTATTCTAGTGACATTACTTCAATATTTCCTGAAAAATTCCAGGACCCTTTTAGAAAAAATATGAATTCTTTTCATACAATCTATTACATTTCGTAGCTCACAAAAATATACACTGGACAAAATTGCTAACGCACCACCTAAAAAAATTAAAATTTATACTCTAAAAACTTGTTTTAGATGTATTTAATGTTTAAATAGGTGGCCTTAGTTATAAAATAGACATTTAAATGCCCAAACGGATAAATGGATGCGATGTTAACTGAAGCGTAGCTGGTCTTTAGAAATGCTTAAAAATCGTGCTCACGCTTTTTGGAAGAATAAATCGTTACTTTCTTTTTTGTGTTCTTATTATTGTTGCATGCAATCATAAAAACTCACAAAAAAACCGACGGGGTATGCGGCGTTTGACCACAGAAGAGCGTGGCAGGGCAGTTGGTATGGTCTCTGCAGGGTGTTCCTTTAGAGAGGTAAGTTAAAACCTAAATAATTTAACGATTGCCGATGATATTGTCTAAAACATGATGCAGCAAGCTTATTAAATGACAAAAACATCTTTCTAGGTAGCCACAGTGTTAAATAGGCACCACACATCAATTGCAAGGTTGTACCGGAAATTCGTGCAAACCGGAAGTGTGGGGGACCGAGCAAGAATTCCAAAGCGCCGGGTAACTACTAGGGGACAAGACAGACACATCGCATTATCTCACCTGAGAGACAGAGGTATCACAGCTGTTGCAACATCAACGATGATCATTGGTAACCATCAACGCAACATCAGTGCGCAAACAGTGCGAAATCGGCTTAAAGAGGTTGGTTTGCGGGCAAGACGGCCATTTGTTGGTGTTGTATTGAATCAAAGACATCGACAGATCCGACTGCAGTGGGCAAGACGACATTTGAGATTTACTCGTGCTGATTGGGCAAATGTCTTATTTACCGACGAGACAAGGTTCAATTTACGGCGTTCAGATGGAAGATTGAGAGTCTATCGCAGGAGAGGCGAAAGGTACAGTGCACCTTGTGTGAAAGAGAAGGGACAGTTTGGAGGAGGGTCTGTAATGATCTGGGCGGGGATTTCTTTACATACAAAGACTCAGGCCATAATGGTGAATCAAAATTTGAATGCTCAGAGATATCAGGATCTCATCATCCGTCCTTGCCGAATACCACATTTGCGAGCAAATCGCGGGATGATCTTTATGCAGGACAATGCTCCGTGTCATACTGCAAGGACGACAAGAGAAATGCTGCAGAGGAACAACATCAGGGTTTTAGAATGGCCGCCGATCTTAACCCCATTGAGAATTTGTGGGACGAGGTGGATAGGCGAATTCGACGTCTTCCTGCTCAACGAAATCTTGCAGAACTACAAAGGGACATTTTGAATGAGTGGAACAATGTGCCACAAAGATTTTTACATAATTACATTAATTCAATGAGGCAAAGATGCCTAGCTGTTATCCGAGCAAATGGAGGCCATACCAGATATTGAAGTGTGAATCTCATAATTGGGGGTACCAATGTTTCATAAACTGTGCTCAGCGCAACTGTTCAATAACTTTGCATCAAATCATGTTTTATTTTTTGTATTATAATAAACTATTAAAATAATATACAAATAAGATTTTGTTGCGTTCAAATTTAAAACAAACAAAGAAATAGTAAGTGGTGCGTTAGCAATTTTGTCTAGTGTACTCTGCCCACTGAAACAATTACTTAAATCTGAGTTAACATGGAAATGGACAATGCAGCTATGAGACACTGATTGACTGAATTGTATGCTTTAGCAATAGACATTGCTGCTGACTTTGGAAAAAATACCCACAGACACACAAGCAGGTCGATTTTAAACTCTCACTCTTTTAAATGTCACAGTTTCTGAAAGTAAATGAAACCATCAGATCACAGTTATAATCTAAATCAATATGGTAGATAAAGTGACCAGCCGTTCTGGTACAATTGGTGCCTAGTGTCCATTCTGCATGGAATTCAGTGTTAGACAGTGGGTAGCCCCCATGAGTTACCGCGAGTTGTGAGACGTATTCCCTGAGACAATCTGTTTGTGTTTTGAGCTCACTTGGGACTGCTTCATCTTTGGAATGCATGGTACTCACTACCAGAATGACTTGAGTCCTAGGCAAATCT